CCGGAGCGGCTCCCTTAAGGCACTAGCCTTGCAATGAACCGGATGAAGTCCGTTCAAACTTGCTGATCCGGGGTTAGAACCTGACTTAGATGGACCCTAAGGGTCGGTAGGGAGGGTCACTGTAATCAAAACTAATGTAGAAAGATATGGGGCTGTTCGTTTTTGTTACAACGGAAAGAGCGTCCGTGAAAAGGCTAATAGAGTTGATAGATCGCGTGAAACTGGCGCGCGTTGGAGAGCGCGCTGATGACCGCAAACGCGCGCTCATTCCCTTTTCCTTCTAACGTCATTTCACGCGCGAGAGTGTCTGTGTAAAATCAATAGGCCAGATGATTTTGTTTTTTCCTATTACCTCTATTTACAACACACGCTTATTGACCGTTGTATTGTATGGTAATCAACTTTCTTCATAGTGCTTTTGTTCATCGAGTTCTTGGGCCTTCACGATTGCTAAACATTGGAAATACGTAGTTAATACTTCACGCTCTTTTCCCAACGGTCCTGACACACGTCTTTCGCTCCATCAACACGCACCAGTGCTTCCATATATCGCACTGCTATTACAATAGCGTTGTAACTAAAAATATGTGAAATTCAAGATTTTACCATTATTCAATGTACAATTTGAGTCTCTAAAAGTCCATACACCGTAATTAGAATATTGTAAGAAACAATCAAAAGATCTACTTAACTCAAAGTGAGACTTGGTGGAATAACAGGCAGAGAAAGATAGGCGTGTCGCTTACCACCAGGCGTACGTCTTGTTCATCCCGTCATTTGGTATTATTTAAAAAATTATAATTATACGTGTTAACCTAAAAAAATAATGGGGAAACCAAAACGTGTCACATTAATCAGGTAAATGGGCAATGAAAACGATTAACGCGACTCTTTTTACGAAGGTTTTCTTATTTTACGCACTTCTTTGCTTTTTTTTCGTTGTAATTGGATCGTATAAGCTTTTAAGGTGAGAAAAAGACACGTTCCTTGTTAGAATGGATTATTTATATGAGAAATATCTTGTAGCCCACAATTATAATAATTGTAGCTTTTCACTTTATATTTCGTTGAAATTTATATGCTTATTAGAGCGGTAGCAATCCGGTGGGAGACCGATTGCTTCCCAAGTCGATGGTTCGAATCCCTGGGCAGCACCTAACCTATGACTTTAATTTCGAAGTTATGTATATTTGTTAGTATTTAGTAGCAACATCTCCTGCTAATGTTAAAGAAAAAACTTCGTGATGGATCCTGCTTGTCCGAGATGGTACACGACACTTGGAAAATGTGGCAATCCATGCTCGGCAGAGAGACGGTTGATATTAATAACATATATGTTGTATATGGATAAGCTGAAACTTGTTATCTAGCGAATAAAATTGGAGTTATGATTTTTTTTCTTAAAAAAGTACTTTAAATCGCTCTCCTGTAAATATTTTCCAAATGCACGTTAGACGTTATACCTTTTCAGTGTCCTTATAGTAATTACGCTTGTTTAGGGTCAACTCTTCCATTCTTTTTCTTATCGTGTCGATACTTCCACTTAGGGATGCACATTTGAAAAAAAACATCGATATTTTCCGTACATTGTTTCATTTTTAAATATACAGTGAATTGATATGATCAAGTCTTCTATGCATCGAAAACAATGCTACGTTTGTAACACGCACAAAAAAAAATTGTTACTACACAATTAGCATTTATTTATTTAATTCAATAATTTAAAACATTCCGATTCACGGTAACTGCATTTTTTCATTGAGTATTAACGCTTTTTCGATGTATCAAGTCTAAAACATCGATGCATAGAATCAATTAAAGGTCTCAAAATCATACAATACTTCGGTTTGTTCGATATATCGTTACAAAAACATCGATTTAATACATAGATGTATATCGACCACTTCCACTTCTTTTATTTTAGAACTGTATTGACTTTGAATGTTATGGTGTCTTTGTGCCCTAATACCCGGATGAGGGAAGAGCTTTACGCCGCCATGAATAACGCAGTCAACGTGACAACTCTTCCATTAGCTCAGTTTTCTTTGTCACAAAGTGATCGGACTCGATACTTTGGTAAAGAAAAGAAAGCCATCTCGTGAATGACAACACAATCGAACGAGTATCAGAACGAGCAAACGTGAAAAACAAGAAGTAACTCATCGAAATGGCAACCGATGTCAGTATTACTTTATTTTTATGTAATATCAAGTGACGGGACGAACAAGTCGTGCGCCTGATGGTAAGCTGTCCATAACAGTTGCTAGTGCAACTCAGCTTTTTAAATCGCAAAGATCTGAGGTGCATTGCCACTGCGCCTGTCACCCTGAGACATAAGTTGTCAAGTCCCATGTGCCTGTAACTTCACCAGCTTCTTTAACCCTTTAAAACAGTACTTCCCTGGACAAACTATTTTACAAGGAGCTGCTAAATATTAACGGTAGGGAAATGGCGTAAGAGAGCCAAACAACGTTGATTCGTCCATTACGCAAGATGAAAGTAATGCAACACTAATAAAGCAACTCGGTTGCTTTATTTTGTCTGCGGTGATCGCGAGTCATCTCTGTTCAGCGCCCTTACTTTGTTTTCCCGATACGACACGTTAATTACTCTTTTTGACCGATTTAAAAAAAAGAGGAGGTTCTCATTTGAGTGTTTTTTCTTTTTTTTCTATGTATGTTACGCTTATCGTGTTTGTGAACCGATTTTGATGATTCTTTTTTTGTTGGAATATACCTCAGTATTAGTCCCATTTACGTTTGAAGGAAATATTCCACCTCTAAGGGTCGTATTCCAGAACTCTACTCAATGCTCAAGTCAGGACTTGAGTATTGCAGTGAGCACTGAAAATCATACTCGAGTCCTTGCCATTAGGGTCGTATTTCCAGTGCTTGAAATCATACTCAAGTCTGCTCAAATCCTGACTTGAGCATTGAGTAGAGTTCTGGAATACGAACATAAGGGTGGTAAACCAGGGGATGAATCTGATTTCGCGCACTTATTTGGCAAATTAATGTGATTCTACAAATTTTTGAGGTCGGTTGTTTTAAACGTTACAATTATATATTTAAAATTTGTATTCTAAACTCTGCAGACAAAAAATAGACCGCACTTTGTCTAATTGAAAGAATACCGAAGAAAATCTTTTTAGGTCTGCGTCAACTTTAGTTTCGTGCCCCGGTTTAGAGCAACGGTTTTAGTTAAATTTGTAGGCCGATGGTAATTAGTCACGATTGTCAAGATTTGAAAGTTTCACTAAACGGATCAAAATAACAACGATATTTGATGAAGGTAAACGCTGTAGCATATTTTGTAGGTTTCGTAATAAATTCTAATGGAAACATCTTTAGGTACTTCACATGTTAGCAAATTTCAATTGAAACCATCAACATTTTAAACACTTCTACTGATTCGTAATGCACATTCATTTCCCTGAGAAGCATTAGCGAGAAATTTACAGGGTTGCTCCTTGTAAATATTATATTTTTTAATCGACTTTAAAAAAGGAGGAGGTTCTTAATTTGACTCCGGTATTTGTGAACCGATTTTGGTGATTCTTTTTTTATTGGAAAGAGGGTACCTCAGTGTTACTCCCATTTAAATTTAAAGAAAATATTCCACCTCTAAGGGTGGCAAACTAGGGGATGAATCCGATTTCGCGCACTTTTCGGAATTCAATTTCAATAAAACTTGGCAAATAGATTTAATTCCACGCTCTTTAGAGAACGGTTTTTTTTTATAAAATAGTCATAATTGTATACATTTATAATTTAAAATATCACATGTACAGGGTCCAAAGCACGTCAGGCTTCACTCTTAAAATCCAACTCTATACCGCTTACGATAAGAACGGTCCAAAGTGCAAAGTATCAAACATGACGTGCTCTTGACTGTACAAGCATTAAAAAATTAGTCGAGTTGCTGTACCTGTGGTTTATATTTCGCGATAATTAAGCCTCGTGAACATTGACTTACAAATAAATGGTTGACGGGTCTAATACAAAAACCACGAAAAAAATGCCCCAAGTCAACCTTTTTTTTTTTAAACGTAATGACATGTAGAGGAATATGAAAAAGCTAAAACGTTGAATTTAAATTGTAATGTCATCGCAGCACTGTCTAATTTTGCTTGCTTCGCTGTCAGTCGAACAAACGAAGACTAAAGCGTGAATGACGCTCTGTATACGATTTTAACGCCCTATAAGTTCGGACACTTTTTAGCGCGGACCCGACGTCCATATAATTGTAAGTCAAATGGATTTAATACTTAATTACCGATGAAATTTGATTCCGTTTGTTTTCTAATTAGGTGTTTTGCTGTTTTTCTCCACACCACCGAAAGAAACAGCACGCCATCGTCAGTGATATTATCTTTATTACAATACAGAATATTTTTGGAATATACGGAGACGTACCACACGGGTCAGTAGTTGGCCTGTCTATATTTCAGTGCAAACGAGAGTTGATATTTATAAGAGCTGTATCACTAATGTGTTACCAGGAATATATAGCCCATATTGCGTCTCTATTTCTGGTTATATACTCGATGATTGCGACATTCAGTAAACTTAAAAATTACATAAGTTACGTTTTCTTAAATGTAGTACTGCAATAAAATAATCTATCGTGAAAAATATGTTCTCTCTTTCTGTTCTCAAGTGAAAATTGGCAAATTATTCTAAACCTAAAAATGATGGTAATAGTGTAGATTGTAGATGTTTATAGCAGCAGGAGAAAACACTTCGTAATAATTAATTCTACAGCTTGCTAAAATCTAACCCTAACATGTCTTCCTGTAAATAAAAGACGAGTTTGTTAAAATTTCTTTCGATAATGAAGTCAATTATTTCTTCAGATTTGCATAACGTCGGTTTGCTTCGTAACGCCTTTGAAATTTTTTTGTTTATGTTTTTAGTGAAGGTGTTCGCTATCTTATATATTTCTTTGTGTAGAATATCGTGTTCTTCTTTATATAATGTTTCAATAAATTTTGTTCGAAGGATGATGAAGATGAAGACGATACAGAGACATGCGCAAGTCCTGAAGCATGCGCGCCGCAGCCGTTCCCGCGGCACACGGCGCCCGTACAACAAGCTGCTCCCAAACCGTGGAAAAGAACAGGTAAGCATATACTAGTAGAGCTCCTTAAGAAAGATTTCGTCCAGGGAAGTACTGCCAGTAACGCAAACATTAAAGCGTGCCGGTTTTGAAGAGTACGGGTGACATTACAGGCACATGGGACTTGTCAACTTATGTCTCAGTGTGACGGGCGCAGTGGCAGTGCCCCTAAGATCTTTGTGATTTAAAGCTCTTAATTGACACTACAACTGTTATGGGTAGGCGTGTCGCTTATCACCAGGCGCACGACTTGTTCGTCCCGTCACAGACAGACACATAGATACACAAACACAGGCTTCGAACTTTTAACAGCACTCTTTTTGCATCGGTGATTAAACAGAAGGAGAAAACATAGGAAATTCGTATAAACAATTATGAACAACCAAAGTATGCTAGTACCGTAGATATTTTTGATATGGGATTTCTGAGAATGTTCTATTGTGATCTAGAGAACTTTCTCCAGAAGCTATAGAAACTTCTAGATACTAAGCACTGTTTCCTCTCCATGCACTCGGACAGAAGTGACTCCGCCGCGCGCGCCGCCCCGCACGCACATCTCGCACGACGAGTACCATCAGTTCTGCGACGAAGCCCTTGAATGTAATCGCATGCGCATGCCTAGTTTTCGATTGTTGTTGTATATTTTCTTTATTAACCCTCAACTTTTCAAGTTCAAATGTTTTGGTTAGGTTCATTTTGGTATTTTTTTAACGTTTGCTTATAGTGAATAAGTGTTATTTTTGTTAGTTACTAATTTCAGCTTCCAATCATTACTGGCTTACAATTTCGTGTGATTTATGCATTTTTTTTTCACATTTGGCCAACATTTATTCACGTTTGGTCGTAACGTTTTTTTCACGATAGGCCTAAAAAATTTTTTTTCACGTTTGGTCTAATATCCTTTTCACGTTTGGCCTGACATTTTTTCTAACCTAAGTTTACATATTTCTTAAAAACTTGTTTATAAACAACAAGTTGCTGCGGCTGCTTGTACCGAGATCTTTATAATACCAAGGAAATAATTTGATGATGGGCCTCATATAGGTCCTAAGGTTTCCCATACCTGGTTTGGTTTTATTATCCCTATTCTGTTAATGTTTGTTCCACGTTTAAGAATGCTAAATAAAATTTTATATTGACAGCATATGACCTGGCGACGCAGTGTCCGTCGCGGCGAGCGTCGATGCGCCGGCACACGGCTACTCACCCCACCTGTGCACCCACCGACGGCGTTCACTCGTTGCCACATTCAAGGTATACTGACAGCACAACGAACGTGATAAGCCAGCCTTTCAAGCGTATTTGCAGTGCAGTCTTACGGCGTCATCATACTTATACAGGGTGCGACGCGGGAACTTCTTTATTTTAAAAAATCATAAAACGTAAGGTATTGGAGATATCGTTTTTATTCTATTTTCTTTACAGAGAGGTACATTTAAAGTTTTGGTTAATTACTTCTTGAAGGTGGCCTCCATTCTGGTCAATACAATGGGAGAATCAAAATCGGTAGTTTCTGACCACTTTGTCCAGCATGTCTGTGTCTATGTTGGCAATAGCAGGTCCCGGTTTCTTTTTCCACACACTACCGGTCTTCATAAACGTGGCCACCCACTGATCAATCGATCTTCGATCAGTAACACGACCTGCAGGCGCAATATTAAATTGTCTCCTGAATGCACGCTGGGTTGCAATGATCCAACGGCCGTTGCACGGTGAATGCGAGCTCCTTTCTCGTCTATTGCATGGTCGTTCCTAACCAACCGTGAAACAAAACCTTACACTGCGCCCTTTCGAATGCGCACAAACCCACACCTCAATGATAAACGGCCGCTGTGTGCACCGCGTTTCAAAAAAGGAAGTTCCCGCTGCGCACCCTATACTTTCGCCGCTGTTGATAACAGTATTAATTACATTATAGATGCTTCTGCAGCTTGTACTGACCAAATGTGATTTTCTCTTGTTTTTCCGACGGCACGTGCGTGAGGCACTTGCTTCTCTACTTCACAGGACATTGTAATTATTTCTCAGTGCCCTAAGAATATAGTAGATGGCATCAATATCCCAATATCAATCATGTCCGTTAAGCTATAAAGCCTATATCCAAATACAATCAGGCCTCAAAATGACTTAATCATTTTTAGCCGACTTAAAAAACGGAGGAGGCTTTCAATACGACTGTATTTTTTTTGTATGTTAGGTTACGCGATAACCGATTTTTGTGAACCGACTTTGATGATTCTTTTTTGTTGGAAAGAGGGTACCTCAGTATTGGTCCCACCTAAATTTGAAAAAAATATTCTACTTCTAAGGGTGGCAAACTAGGGGATGAATCCTGTTTCGCGCACTTTCCGGTAACCGATTTCAATAAAACTTGGTAAAAATTTAGATGTTTCGATTTTTTGTTTAATCAAAAAGTTATGTCTATATTGTTCAACTAAATAAGTAAGTCCAATCCTAACCTAACCGTGTTTCTTTCAGGCCAGGGTCGCGAGCGTCGTGTGCAGGCGCAGCATCCCTCGCTAGCAGCGACGCTGACGCACAGCTCGGCGAGCTGTCGTGGTCGAGATCCTCGCTGCAGGACGAACTCATCAAGTCGGTTAGTGGCAGCCCCACTCATGCCTCGCATGTGAGTAGACAGCTTGCAGTAGACTTGAAAAGCTCAGTTTGAATTTAAATTAAGGCCACGTAATTTGCTTCAACAGTAGGATATGATTTACCATTATGTGTGGTAGAATGGGAATGTTAAAGCTGGCAAACTCAGGTTTCGGCCGCCATTTTGCTGAATGTAATAGACCTCGTTTCTTAAACTGATATCACGTATATTGATGCTTCAATTCAATAATACTAAGTCTGTTATAATTATGAATACAAAAATCAAATACTAAGAAAAATTTCTTCGATCCTTCTGGATTCGAACCGGCTCATACCTTGCCTGACGTTATCCCAACTGAGCTACTAGACTAGACTCGTAGATTTCTCATAGATGGCGCTACGGCAAAAAGTTGTTAAAAAAACAAAATCAAAGATCTGCAACAAGCACGTAGAAAAATTTATAACTTCTGCTTGTTTGTTCCGTTGGGAGATTGTCAGGCGCGATATGCTAGAGGCGCTGATCGAAACCAGCTGGATAGAAGGAATTTATCTCAGTGTTCGATCTTTGTATTAACAATTACTATAATAGACTAGTGCAGTCATTTCATGACGTCAATTAGGCAAGTCTGCCAGCTTACAACATGGTGTGAAGATTTCCCGTTTTTCCAGGGTCCAACAAAAAACCCGACAAAGTTGCAACTGTTCACCTTGGACGTTTCGGAAACAAATTTTTAGCGAATACACAAAGTTTATTCATGCATTGTTTCTTATTATAAACTTTTTGTTACACCCTGTTGATTTGTTCGGTTATTAATGGTAATGTTTATTGTAGATAATTATTACTTTATTTGTTTTTAAGTTACTCCCGCATTTAATTGTTTAATGTGTGTACATTAAACAATAAAAAAATTATATTAACATTATATATGCTCTGGCCTGTGCACCATTGTAGGTGGCTGGTACAACACTCGCTATCACTTTAAAACATTAGAATAAACGTAAAATAAAAACAATTGCAATTAAATAGAAGGGAACTATATTTTTATCAAACAATTATGTGTGTTTTTAATTAATTATTATACATTTTTTTATGTAATCATAATTCTTTGAAAATCGGTTATCTACCTAAAATTATCAAATAGAAAACCTTTGAATTTACAAGGAGATTATAGTATGTGAGTGTGGATTGCTTTTGTATGACTTATTTAGTGCATAGAAGTAGAAAATCTAATGTAGTTGTGTAGATAGGACCTTTCACTATCACTTTACCACACATTATCATGTTTGACTATTCATTATATTTTATCAATTTCTACCGTTCATTGTTCACTATATTAGTATACAAATGTGTACGTGTAGTAGCTGATAAATTAATTGTATATTTTTGGGAATTTAGTCGTAACGTCTGACAAGTTATGTCTATTTGAAATCTTCCCATTTTGTGGAATTAAAAGTTCGATCAACTATTATAATTACAATACATATTTACTTGTCAAAAGTTAGTTATTTTTCTGTTCTGGCAGAGAACAAATAAGTAATGAGAACGGACACTCTCCGCCCCTCCCTAGCTTTAGATACCGCACCACACCCCGCACATTGACGGTCACATTGACTGAACGAGTATAAGGCTGGCGCTTGGATGGAAAAAAAATAAAAACATAGTCTAACGGCTGTCGGCGAGCCGTTTCCGCGCTAAGACTTGAGGCTTTGATATTTAAATATAGTTTTCATTTATTCATTACGAAATTTGTACGTTAATATATAACATCATTTTACGTTACTATTTATAATGGTCGTTAATTGTGTTGTGTACGGTTGTTTATAATAATCTGAACGGGATAAAGAGATGTGTTTCTGTCGTTTTTTGAAAGATGATACGAAGTAAATAAAAAATGTCTGAGACTCATTCAGTTATTGTTTTCGTAAGTGCAGAGTAATATATAATACAGATTTATTATCTCAATATAATAAGACGCCATAACTTCGTGAGCTAAACAAGGTTTCTAGAATTTTCAATTTGTATTGCCGATAAATATTACGTAGTAAATTATACCTAATTATTAACTAGGTAATGATAAAGTTGGACACGCAATTTCAAATACTTTGGTTATCTTATTTAAAGGTATCTGTCCAAAATTTAAGTGCTTTAAGTGCTTTTAATATATTTTTTACATAAATCTTCAATATTATTCTAGTTAGTGAATTAATAAAAAATATAATATTATATCGATATAAATAAGTAATGAACCTGTATAATTATTAGGATTCTATAATAGAATTATAGATTCGCGTTAGAATTTTCGCTATGTTGCCGCTCTGACCACGTAACGTAATAGTACGAGCAAGTAATGGGCAACCCTGCCACTTCACGCACACATTCGCGCGTGTGCAGATAGCGCCTTGCTGTATGTAGTAGTAGTAGGTAAATAATTTAATTTTCGACCGTTGTATGGAGTTTCCGGGGTGTGGTTCTGGTAAGAGCTAGAGTAACGCCAAGACCAATACCAATGTAGACAATTTCCTTAATTTCCTTAATTAAAATTTAATTGAAAAATTAGTTGCTAAGGGCTCGAATATTGGCAACACCATATCAGGGTAATATAGAAACTTGTCAGTGTTCACAATTCACCAAGGCTTGTATGGTTTTGAAACTTTGCCTTTTCCTTTGCGGAAATAATAGAAGATCTTCATGTTCACTTTATTTAAATAAATATTCTGCCCATTCCAGAAACAATGGCAGGACGCGATAACGTCAGACGACAGACTCTCGCTGACCCTTGAGGAGATCGTGCACATCAGGTCGGTACTGACCAAAGCCGAGCTTGAGGTCTTGCCCGTCGAAGGGAGGGTTAAAGAAGACGTTGAGAAAAGGAGGGTGAGTATCATCGTGGAATGGAAGCATATTAAAATTTGGTATTATATAAAAATATATTTGGAACCATCGCCTAATAAACTTAGTAAGGGTGCTGGTGAAATTACAAGCACTTCGACTTATCAACTTATGTCTCAGGGTGACTGTGAGAACGAAACTACAGGGCCTTATTACCATTAAACAAGATGATAAATATACGTGTTTTGTTCCCCAGGTATGCTTCCTATGTTTGAAGACACGATTCGGCATTTTCGGCCCTTGGGGGCAGAAGTGCAAGTTATGCAAAAAGACTGTTTGTCAAAAGTGTTGTTCAAAGGTAAGTGATAAAGTTTCATTTATTTTAAGCCCGGAAGTAGGAGGTTCTTTTCATGTAGCAGAAAGTTAAAAGATTAATTTTAGAATGTGTATGTCGCAGACGTGTTGTATAAAGCGCCGTATTACATTAAGGCTAGCCGCATTGCAAAACGGCACTGTTTTCTAATACGGCTACCTAAGCAAAGGCTTACTTACCAATGCTTGCAATGCAAAGGACACTTCGTACATTGTGTTAAGAGTGTTTTATAAATTTATGCATTGGTTTAAAACATACTTAACTTTAGTTCAAGTGGACATAAATTATACCTAATACTTATTCGTTTCCTTTAAATGTACTTTTTTTTGTCACTATTACTTGTTTTGTAATAGAGGTGCGAAACTTCCTGTTGCAAGTGTTCTTTTTAAGTATGAATACTTAAAAAGTATATCAGAACCTGTCATAGGTAGCTGCAGGTATAAGTAATTTACAATAACAACTTCTTTTCACGTACATATATTTTTTATAACTGAAATGGAATCTACGGCAAACACATAACACATCTATTTTTATATCATGTTGTTTTTCTATTCAAATTCAATAATTTAAACCAGCTCATTTCGAAAATAGCGCCAGTCGTCGCTCTGACGTCACGGCTAGTGACACGAAAAACGTTACTAAACTTATTTATATTTGTTTGCTTTCAGTTGTTATGCATAATACATAAGTGAATTATATAATAAATTATATTAGGAAATACTGTGTATGGAAAAGTAGACGCGAGAGATATCTTTCTATTTTAAAAATAATTAACAATAACTTGGAATAATTAGTAAAAAATCTCTAAATAACACGCACCCAAGGCCATTAAAGTAAAACATCTTGACATTATTTAATTGATCAATCTCACAAACCACATAAATATCAATCTTATTATCGGTCATACAGATGACTTCCTGAGTGGGCCTTTCAAATCTGATTTACTTTTTTTCTCAACAACTGCTAATTAAAAAAATATCAATATGGTGACAAAACATGCAACTAAAACATTGACTTACAAATAAATGGACGACGGGTCTAATACAAAAACCACGAAAAAAATGTCCCAAGTCAACCTATTTAAACGTAGTGACATGTAAAGGAATATGAAAAAGCTAAAACGTTGAATTTAAATTGTAATGTCATCGCAGTACTGTCTAATTTTGCTTGCTTCGCTGTCAGTCGAACAAACGAAGACTAGAGCGTGAATGACGCTCTGTGTACGATTTTAACGCCCTATAAGTTCGGACACTTTTTAGCGCGGACCCGACGTCCATATAATTGTAAGTCAATGATCTACAAGATGAATTTTATAAAGAGCTTGTGGGGAAAAATGTGCTGTTGTCAAATTATTAAAACATATATTTTTTTAAATTTCTTTTTAATTTTTAACACTTTTCAAAATAACATTTACATAACCACGCAACTTATCTATGCGTGATTTCAGATGCGAATACCAACGGAGCATTTCGCGCACGTGCCGGTGGTGTTGCTGAGCCCGTCGCTGCTGCCCTCGCCGGAGGACGAGCCTCAATCCTCCTTCCCCAGGAGCCTAATGTCGAGGCTCGTTTCGCCCGAACACTCCGTAAGTGTAATTGACATATTTTTAACGTTAATATTTTTGACAATTTACGGGCACAGTATAATATGACAAGTAGTGTAACTCTATACATAAAAATGTAGCTGCGCGTCTAGTATGTGTGCGCTCCGGTCGTGCACCGTGTACGGACGCTCACGTCCGCCTAATCTCGTGGTGCGGTCCCGGTGCAAGAGTAGTGCTACGCATCGTTTATTATTATTATACATAGAATTGAAGCGTACGCTCGGTGTTTAAAATATGAGTTTCTACTCCTCCATAATCTGTCAATTATAATTTCATTACCTATTTCACAAAGGCGCTCTTTTTAGTTCTGAATCAAAATTCTATTGTCTACGAATGAACTGTTTTTTATCCAGCCGCACACAAGTAATGTAACGTGTTTGCAGAATTTAACGCCATTGTCAAATAACTGCATACATACCTAACTTGCAGTGAACGTCAAACGTCATCGAAAATGTCGTTTCTTTAGTATCCGTTTCTGAAACTTACATGAAAGCGTTTTTCGTTACATTGAACTTTTCTAAATTGGTTCTGGGTTTGGGTGATCTCCGTTGCTCCGGTTGATACTCGTAAGTGACGGGAGGAACAAATCGTGGCCCTGGTGGAAAACACCCGTCTCTTCATAACAGTTGCAGGGTTGCCATTTAAACCATTTATTTCCACACACATTAATTACATAACAAAACTAAGCTTAAGTAATCACTTATAAATGCAAAAATAAATTAAAATAATGTATACATTAAATGATTTAAGTGCGAGGGACAGTCTCAGCATTTAGGTACTGAGTGGCAGAAGTCGCGCAGTGCTGGTTTTCAGCCTGCCCCCAATCTTCGCAAACACATTTGTAATAGCGTTTGTTTCGTAAACTTAGTAAAAACTCGGTAACATTATAAAGCCAGCTTTAAATCGCAAAGATGTGAGGAACCCTGAGGCACGAGGTGACGTTTCAGAGCACGGCGGAGAACAGCGTGGGCAGCGCGCCCAGCAGCCCGCTGCCGCGGCGCGCGCAGGCGGCGTCGGCGCCGGGCTCGCGCGGCGGCTCCGCCCTGGGCTTCGCCGAGGCGCTGTCGGTGGCGCCGCCCTGCATGTCGCGCAGCGTCGACGGGCCCGACGCCATGCCCGTCGGCGTCTGCACGCCGCCCACCCTCTCGGACCGCAGGTACCGCATTCTCTTCTGACCGAGCGTTGTGCTGTGCTCTATGCAACCTCTAATGGATTTAGTTGATAACAGCGAAAGTAATAAAAAACGCGATTCTTAAAAATTTTCACGATAGAAAAAAAACGCAAACTTATTTAAAACCGCTGTATCAATAGGTGCTTTAGATATACCAATGATCTTTTTTTTTATGTCAACTAAACTAAATAGAACATGTATACTGTACAATATGCATTTTTCAAATGGCCTTAATTTCGTTTGTAAAAAAACAATTCTGAAATAAAGTCTGTGTCCCGGCCGCTCGACCCAAGTAAAATGAACCGTATTAGTAAACAATTCGAACTAAAATGTTGTAAAAAGCACGCAAACACATATACAGCCATGATGGACTGTAAAAAAAATTGGTAAATTTTTATACATAAAATCATTAAAATTTTATAAATTATAAGCTTTTCTTAATAAATTTGACTGCCTCCGTGGCCGAACGGTTACCATGCCGGACTGCCATGCAGAGGTCCTGGGTTCGATTCCCAGGCTGGGAGAAATATGTGTATGGCCTACATTTATTTCTCCCGTAATTTTGGGTGTAATTTGTGGTTGTCTATGTGTCTGTCCATGGCACCCGCGACACAGGATTTCCCTAGGGCGGGGCTATGTTGAGTGTGTGCGTTATTATAATAATTAAATATATAATAATAAGTATTTAAGTAGAATGTGGTTGAACTGCAATTAAATTTCTGTTTAGATGACATTTTAAACGAATGTTTTAACTTTAAACTTAAGTAAACCCCTTGCTTGAACTAGAACCTGATTTAGGCAAGGAAGTGTAGTGCTACAAATTAAAAAAAAAACTCCTTACCTATCATGGCTGTAACGTAAAGAAAAAAGGCCCGTGAGTTTCATTTGGGGCATTACAGTTACCATGCAATCATACCATTTACGAGTAAGTGTGATGAAAATAATATTGTATACCTTAACTTGTACAACTATATAGCACAAACCAGTGCAGGTCGGTCTAAAAAGTAGGTCGCTAACTTAAATATAGCATAGTTGCAGTCGTTGAGAACTTTGTGTCCGACACAATGCAGTTTTGCGAGTTTGTTCCGTTTGGCCGAACAAATAAATACCTAACACGATTGTTAAATATAGGCTAAAATATATCCTGCAGCAGACCAGCTACTTTGGCTGAGTGCCAATGCAACCCGTAGCGGCATGCACGTAGGTAGAACAATTTGTAGTGTTGCCAAGTAATTTTAACTCCGGACTTTTGGGTCCTTCGAGATCGATACTGTCTACCTACTAGGCGTAGAGGTAATATACTCGTAATGTTTTTACTTAGTTGCTACGTGCACAATGGGTGACATACATTTTAGTTGCAAATAAATCAATTCAATGTACTCATATATTTCTCACATGAATCCAAATACTGTCGTAACTCAAAATTGTGGAATTGGGAAAACACGTTTTGAAAGTTCAAAAAATTATTATATGAAACCAATCAATATGTATTCTCTTTTATAAATGGATAAGTAAATACTTAGGAAATGAAACTATTTTTCCGGATTTAAATCGCGTATATTTGTTTTTTCAAACAAACCGACGTTTCGGGCCCTTTACAGGTCCCATGGTCACGGTTGACGGAAAAATAGTTTCATTTCCTATGTGTAACAATCGCGAAAACCTAAGAACTCGATAAGTAAATACTATTTAAAATTTAAAATAACCACATTAGTCAAAGTTAAAGGATCATTTATTACATAGGTAAAATTTTTACACTTGAAAACATCTTGAAAACGTATTTTTTTAAGCTACTGCTCGTTCACTGTGCTGACTTCACTGAGAAGAACGAGCAAGAAACTCTAGGGATTGCTCTTTTCAAATAAACTTAAATGCTATGGAATACACTTTATCTAACACGTATTCTTCAATTTTGTAATATGACTTTTCAATTAAAATACTTTTAATGTAAGTTTGAAATTTAGGAAATGATTATTCGCAATAAGAGCCATTCAATTTTAATTAGTTTAAGTAACTAAAAATTAATTCGTGTAAAAATTGTAACCACAAGAACCAGCCATTTTTTTCAACGTCAAAGAATTATGTTCTTATCATATAAGGTCAAACGGATATATTACACCCACATATCAAAAAAGTTTTATGGCCACTATTAGCCAAAATAAAAAGACTTGTGACAAAATTGTGCGCCGTGTGCGGAGACTTAAAAGCTTAGAAATATAAAGAACAGACAGGCAACAAAACCACGGAGCGGAAAATCTTTTTCACGATCATTTTATAGTTCATAAGACAGTGACGCAACTTGAAACATATTAATTTTATTAACATTTCTGAGCATAAATAAAAATTACGCACGAAGAAGTCTATCATTTCTCATATATAATTTCCTAAAAATTATTCTTTTTCAATTAGGTCATTTTGTTATTGAGTGTGTAATACGTATTTATATTTGATGTACATAAACAGTTGTTCATCAACTTCCAGAGCGCGCTATGGCCGAAGCACAACTGGAGTGACGGCAGCGGACCGTCTGCGAGGGGTGCAAATGGCGGTGTGCCACGACTGCAAGGCGATGGTATTGCAAATCATCAAGTCCTCCCGCGCCTCGCGTTCGGCTTCGCGGGACCGGGCGCTGCGCCATCTCACCCTCGACTTAGCTCCCGTCTACACGGCTGATTGTTAGTTCCACAAGGTTCCGCACGACTTTGTTTGATGATCGGTTACGGGTAGGATGCAAAAGGAAATAGTGTTCTGAAAAATTGTAACTTGGCCTTGCACTGCAATGCCCGGACAGCAGACGTTTTATAAATTAAGTAATGTTTTTTTGTGCCAAGTATAGCTATTGAAATCGTGTCTTGCCAATGAAGCATTTAACATTATTTGATTGTGATTAGATTAAATTTATAATATAAATATTAGCTTTACATCAGTAAGTCGTTAAACAATGTGTTTTCTTTTTGTTTTAATTTTTTCAAATTGCATCCAAACCCGGATCAAAAACCATGGAAATAGATCTGAAAATTATTTGGATTTCAAATTTATTTCTACAATTATAATAGTGATTGAAGAGCTTTCGAGGTTGTGTAGGAACCTTAAAGTTGTGTTGTAGAAGGACCACCATTTTGGTTTTAGAAGGTGCTACTTGCGACATCAACACACAAGGTAGACTGCGGTTCTTTTGAAGCTAAAACTACACAGAACTGAAAAAAATTTGCTAAGTTTTATGCGTAAACAAGTTACGCGTTTAGGTATAAAGCCTAAAGCAAAAAAAAGCCAAGTTCTGTTGTTGTTTCCTTGTCGATGTGGTCGGTAGTGCATCAAAAAAGTAGATTATTAACTTTTGACAATACTCGTTTGACAGACACCATATTTTTGTTTATATCGCACAAAAAATTCATATATAAAATTATTCACTAGATATATAAAATATTTAACTTATAATATACATAATCAGAGATACTCATAATGTTTAATGATATATTAAATGATATATTCCACGAAATTAACTAAATTATATTTTGTCGCATACTTTATAATGTAATAGAATATATATATATATATATATTTCCCGAATGATAGAATGTTAGCAATATATCTACAAATTTAATGTGAAATAAATTATCTGTGTTCAAAAAAAAACCAATGTGCTATGATATGAATGTTGTTGTATAAAGATATATAAATTGTTGATATAGCAACTGTTTATAAAACATGTTTATGTATTTTTGCTTAAAAAAATATCCAGCTCTCCTCTTCGAATGACGTCTATTGCTCTATCGTTTTGCTTTGCAATTCTGTGTGTTAAAATATAGTAATAAATACCTGTAATAGTACCAACGCATATTTGTTATTTAATGCAAGTAAGTTTTCTGTGCCATACATGTGGATATAGATGTACTTTTTCAATTAAATGTGTGACATTATTGCCTGGTTGTAATAGGAGCGGTGACAATGGTTTAAATTAAGTAAAACTTTTCTCATTTGATTTTACGTATAATAATGAATAATAATACTAGATGTGACATAGAAACATGAAATTAGAAGTTTAGACGATTGTTACGGCTGCCACTGCTTTGTTCGTACTTTTCAGGAAGATTTGTCACTCTGTATAATAGATTCCATTTTAAATTTTCATTCCATTTATGTAAATGAGTCGGATCGACAACTATGCGGTAAAATGAATAATATCGTAATTAAACCTATATAGTATAGAGGATGCAACTGTCAAATATAATTGAAAATATTTTAACTTAAATTTTATTAATTTAAGAAAGTTATGTGATGAAAATTAAACGGTTAATTCAGTTACATCCTTTTGCAGGTTACTTATTTTTGGTCGCACTTTTACTAAATGATTTAAAAAGTATACAATTTTGCTCACCTGTCGATTTTTGAGTTGAACGATTGTGAAAAATTGGCCAAGTTTCAAGTATTTTCGTACCGTTGTATTTTATTGACAGTAAGCTACTTTTACTGAATTAAAATTCTTTGAAACTTGGCTATAGTTGAGAATTATTGTATTTTCGCGTTCCACTCTCATGCCTAGATGTATTTAGCATGTATTTAAATTATTTTGCCAAATATACACACTTTGTAAATATCCGTTCTAATTATCGGTTACTATAGACTAGGTATATAGTTTAAATTTTCAAGGTATATTATTACATAGGTGAGTTTGTAACCTGAGAAATTCTCCCCCTAGACCCTCCGTTATGTTTAGTTCATAATAGTTTTAAGTTTTCACTATGAATACCGCACCGTACATTTTTGGAAGAACAAAATAGTCACTAGAACACAGTTATTATTGTAAGTTCTTTTTTTTTTTAAATAAAAGTAACAAATAATTTCGTTTATATCAGGTCAGGTTAAAACATTTCTGAAAAATAATTATTGTCATTAATTATTTACTAATTTATTAGAAAATATCATCGACATACCCAGTTAGAACTTGTAAATGTTTGTAAATTGTAGTCGTTACATGTTACGTAGCTTGTAACTATATGAAAAATAATTAAAAGAGAAAAATAACGAAATAAAAATAATTACAAATCGTTCTTATGTTGTTTCAATGCTCACTTCTCTTGTTCCAGCGTGACCATGGTCAAGTTTTTTGAAATTTGATTCGTCGGGTAAATTCATGACTTTGTGGGTGCAAGCAGTGTACATGAGATTACGGTGACAGATAACACTAGAGACCGCGTAAAATGTTTTTATACAAAATGTTGTTTCTTCTAGTGACTGCTAGAGGGGCTGTATAATTTTACCATACAAAACTGTGAGGTACGCGAGTACGACAACCGTTACAGTAAACTCGTGGTAGAGGCAGTTCTAAGCTAGGTGCTGTGGTTTCCGAGGTTCAAAAATGGTGCCGCCAGAATAACTACGTTTCAGCGTGGACAGTAAAACATTGAACTTCAAAATGGCATGTGTAAATCTAGTTTTTTATGAATAGAACCGACTACATCACGACTTTTTTTAGTGCAATCAGATCTAAGCTAGGTCTTGTAGTTTTCGTAATCGAGGAGCGGTGCCACTGGAATAAGCTTATTCCAGGGTGGATAGACCTAGTTTTCTGCAACTAATGGGCAGACTATGGATACGTGTGGGGATGAAGGGCGGCAGCAGAGCGACATGTTTTACATAGCTACCGGGATCGTTGGATTAGTTAGCTCGGTTAGCTTAGTTCGCGGTGTGAACTGAAGTGTGAAAAGATGCCCCGGCTACGAGAGCTAAGCTAAGTTAGCTTCGTTCGCGGCGTGGGTGAAAAAAAACCAATGGAAGTACCTTAAGCCTCGATTGCGATTGATAATCAGAAATAGAGACGAAATGTCATTTCATTTGTTTGAAAACTATTCTGCCATATCTTTACTGTGACAACCTTAGAATAATAACGCATAGAAACCTAGCCCGCACACGCTAAGTGAGGCAAATTGAAGCGCGCCAAAAGGGCCTACACGAGCGGGCGGGCCTTCAGTGCTCAAGGTCAACTTGCACCGCGAACAGATCAAGAATTTTAGCTAAAAATGACGAAATGTGCGGTAAATGAGTGTAAAAATACGTCAGACAAACATAAAATAGATACTAACATCACATTCCGCAAGGAAGTAACGCGTTTCAACTAATATTTTTATATAAATATTCACTAAAACCGAAAATTAGCCTAGTACTAAAACTAGCCTACATGTATTTGATTTTTGCCTCACTTGTGACAGTTCGTTTGATATGAAACTATCATTCTATGCCATTGACTTACAATTATATGGAATTGTATGTTGGGTCCGCGCTAAAAAGTGTCCGCACTTGTAAGGCGCTAAAATCATATACAGAGCGCCAAACTCCGCTTTAGCCTTCATTTGTTCGACTGACAGCGCGATACTGCGATGACATTACAATTTAAATTTCGAATAGGTTGACTTGGGACATTTTTTCGTGGTTTTTGTATTAGACCCGTCGTCCATTTATTTGTAAGTCAATGTTCTATGCATTATTATTCTAAGGTGACAACTGCGCTCCGATTGGCTAGCCCGAGTTCGAAACAATTGACAGGCGTCGTCAATTGTTTCACTTCAAATCGGCCAGTTAACTTGAGCTTTGCTATAATGGACGAAATCTGCAAAATTACATATTTAATTACCGATGAAATTTCATTTTGTTTGTTTCGTAATTAGACGTTTTGCTGTTTTTCCCCACGTCACCGAATGAAACAGCACGCCATTGTTAGAGATATTATCTTATTACAATAAATACAGAATATTTTTGGAATATACGGAGACGTACACACAGGTCAGTTGTTGGCCTGTCTATATTTCAGTGCAAACGACAGTTGATATTTATAAGTGATGTATCACTGATGAGTCCAGTGAAGAGATGAGTGAAGAGACCAGGAATGTATGGCCCTTATTTCGTCTCAATTTCTGGTTATATACTCGATGTCGCCAAAACTCACACATTCTTAATTTGAACACTACAAAATCTTGATATTGATTGGTCGTAGTTACAAATTTAAAAAGAAATAAATTCTGGATTGTTACTATAATTTAAATTATACGCTGCTGGCATTTCGTTGAAAGTTAAGTACCATCAATACCTATTGTTACAAGTTACGATGTTTTGATATTATATTGAAATTTCTATCAATGTGCTGCAGTCTAGCGGTTCATTGCGAATTGGAGCAATTAATTTAGTTCTCCAAACAAGAATCGACCATGTTGCAGGGGTCTAAGCTTTACTTTCGTTTCTTGTAACAAAAAAAATATTTAAATAAGCAGAAAATTGAAAATTTATTAAAATAAGGCTTTACAATGATATGAAATACCGCCCCAGGTAATATTTTTGGTGCGGCCATCATTTTTGCCCTCCTAAACAGAACAATAAGGCAATTTTCTAGGATTTTAGAGAATTTGCACGAAAGAACGACACAACCATACCATGCAAAGCGAAAAGGGCGGACTGAGCTCAGATAGGTCTTTCGAGACCTATTGTTGGCACGCGTCGGACACTAACTAACCATTTCATCGACTAAATGGCAACTTTTTGCCTAACTAATCCAATTAAAAAATATTCGACCATAGTAACGCTGCAATAAGGGCTTCCACCTTTTGGCGAAAGGCCACCTTTACAGGTTCTGAGGATCTACTTTCGTTCTCCGTACGACATCCGAAGCAATTACTGTGAAATATGTAATACTCGATCAAATAAAAAAAAACAAGTATGAAGCTTCATTCGCATCAGGTTTGGGTGTTCTGGGCGGCGCCCAGGAGTTAATTCTGTTAACTGGTACTTAACTGGTAGAATTCCCTGTACTGGTAACATAGTACAGGGAATTCTCTGCTCTGAGACTAGGTAATAAAATAATAATATTTGTGATAGGTTTTCGAAGTATTCTCTCTAAAAATCTGTTTTAAATTAAACATCATATAAAAATAAGTCAAAAAAAAAAAACATTTCATCTTAGCACTTCATTTTGATTTCGCTGTCGATTTGCCACTTAATACTAAATATACAATTTTATAATACTAATAAGGGTAAAAACTATGTAGGTTCTAATTATTTTCGATTAACTAGAATAAGAACAATCTATAAATCAGGATCACATTTTATTGATTAGTATTATCCATAAAACTATGGTTTACAGTACCAGTTTGATTGATAACTGATAAATAAATTGTCTAATAAATACATAACTCGTTTAACCTACAATTAGGAGGTCTGAATCGAAGCTGTGCGGGGGGACCTCGAGGTTAAGGGGGGCGGGGCCTTTGCGGATACGTCCTGAAGCGTCGTAGTGGGAGCCGTGGCACGGGCAGTAGTACCCGCCGAAGTCGCCAGCATTTGCAACGGGCACGCAACCCAAGTGTGTGCACACTCCAATGACGACTAACCACTTTGGGTCATTTGTACGCTGATTATCGTGTTCTGGGTCTCTGAGCTGGTCCAATGGCACCGCTTGTTCTGTTGCAATCTCCTTATCCGTCCTGGAAATTAATAATGATAAGTAGGGTTAAAACGAAAGACTAGGCCCGGAGCCCATTGCCAGGACGGCATAGCAAAGGAGCCTTCGGCATCCATTTCACTGTCTCCGTGGCCGAACGTTCCGGGTACAAATCCCAGGCCGTGAGAAATTTGGGTGTAATTTGTGGTTGTCTATGGGTCGTATTCCAGAACTCTACTCAATGCTCAAGTCAGGACTTGAGTATGATTTAAAGCGCTAGAAATCATACTCAAGTCCTTGCCATTAGGGTCGTATTTCTAGTGCTTGAAGTCATACTAAAATCCTGACTTGAGCATTGAGTAGAGTTCTGGAATACGACCCTACGTGTGTGTCCATTGCATCTGCGATATAATGTTTTCCTAGTGCAGGGCTATGAAGTGTGCGTGCAAATGCCGCAATGTCCTTAGGTATGACGTGACATACCAGGCATGTTGAGGCATACCGTCGACTACTATTTGCTGTGCCTACCTCTCTTGGTCCTGAAGCCCACTGAGTAATTCCAGCGGCTGCTGGCTCGGTATTCTAAGCTTACCACTTCTTGTTTCTGATGCCACTACCATTATCAATGAAATTTCAAGTATAATGTGATATCATATAAAAATCCCGTAAGTGCCGTAGGCCAGTCATTTGTTTCAACTTAAATTCTAGTAGCATCTTTTTCAACCTTATCATTCTCTTCATTTCTTCCGACATTATAAACATTATGGAACAACAATGTACTTTCGTACGCGCTTCTCACACACGTTTGTATAGCTTTGTGTGCACATTTGATTGGATACAATCGCAACAATCTGCTTTTCGAACCTTTACGGTGACGTAAACGTGCGTATAAAATACGACACCGACTCGCGAATCTTTATTGAGGTAAAAAATATAACCTAACTCAGTACAGAATACTAAAATCGACCTCAAAAGTACGTGGAAGTATATAATTACCAAGTTTTATTGAAATCGGTTACCGGAAAGTGCGCAAACCCGGATTCATCCCCTAGTTCGCCACTATACGGGACTTGACACAGGAGATAATAAAAATCGGTTCTCACTACTAAAAGTATATTGAGAAAAACGCCTTGAATTAGAGAATAGGAAAATCTACCATTAAAATAATTGCTCCTTATAATAAAATTTAGGCACTATTTATAAAAATGAATCTTCATGCGTGAACAGCGACCAACCTTAGAGGTGGATGATTTTCTTCAAAATTAAATGAGACCACTATAGAGGTACCCTCTTTCTAACAAAAAAAGAATCCTGAAAATCGGTTCACAAATACCGGAGTTACCGCGTGACATAATTACAAAATAAAATAAAAAAACAAAGTCGAATTGAGAACCTGCTCCTTTTTTTGAAGTCGGTTAATAAATAATGGCGATTGAATGTGGTATGTGTGGTGTGGTATTAGTTATTAAAAAGAAGTGTTAGCTCAGTTGGGAAAAATGCTCACGTTCTTCAGGGTAAATATCTCCAAAAAAATATGAACCCAAACACATTCCAATAATATTTATAATAATGTTCCATTTACCTATGACGAATGAACAAAGGCTTTCCACGCCATTTGAAGGTAGCGGACTTGCCCTCAGGGATGTCAGCAAGCTTAATTTCAATCTTGGCTAAGGCTAACACATCGGCCGCCGCTGACATCGATGAAACGAATTGGGTGACCACAGCTTTGGCTGCATAAGCTCCAGCAACACCACCAACTGGAATGCATATAAGGGCGCTGGTGAAACTACAGACATGTGGGACAGGTAGGGTGACGGACACAGTGGCAGTAGCATTCATCAGTCATTACGATTTAAAGCTCTGAGTGGCGTTGCAACATGTCATGGTCAGGCGTGTCACTATTCACCAGGTGCACAACCTCTTTGTCCAGGTACTTGAAATAAACTAACTCCTTAAGTAACCAAGCTAACTTCTTTATCTATGTCATAAGCAGATCATTCTAAGCAATGACAGTAGACGTTTTCCTCAAAATCTACCAGACCAATACACGGTCACTGCTGGAGTATAGATATCAAATCTGGAGCCCTTATTTTCAAAAAGGCATACACCTACTTGAAAACTTAAAGAGGAGGGCAACTAAAATGCCACAAGCTCTTTGATGCAAATCCTAACAGGTGAGACAATGTGTATTACACTACTCACTACTCTCGAAGAAAGCGCCCTCATGGTGACCTTATTGAGATTTATAAAATTCTGATGTGTAAGTATAATCTACCAGACATACATCTTTAAAAGAAAAGAAAACTTCAATCCATCAGGTGGTCACCACCTACCAACTAGTTCATGCACCTTCCAAAACACCTGCTGCACACAATTTTTTCAGCAACAGTGTGGTGCATATTTGGAACATGCTATGGGAAGATGTTATTTCTGCTGTCACTGCTAATGTCTTCAAAAACAAGCTCAGCTGGCTATGAAAGAGTGAATTAGTGCTAAAAAAGTGAACTAAAATAAATGACACAAATTTCAACACTAGTGTGATGTAGACATACCAGAGAAAGCTGCTCAACTATAATCAAATAAATAAATAATACAATAAATAAATAAATTAATTGAATTCATTAAACCTATAACAACCAAGTATGAAGTATCTTTAGGTTTAAAGAATTGACAACCTCATTGGTCCAGCAGCAGTTATTTAGTGTGTGTATTTTTAATGTACTGTGATACAAGATAAGTCAGCATTTTCAAATTTTTCCTCAGAGGCATTTGGGGATCAGTTTGTAAATTACTGTACAAGCACACTTCTACGGAGCAAAGATTCTATTAATGTCAGTAGCATTTCTTCAATACAGTGGACTAATGTAATCAACACAATAAAAGCACAGGCATGCCTGTGATTTAGGAGTCAGTTCACCATTTTACTTCTATGGAAAAAGAGTGAAAGTGTTGTGAAATGCTAAACATCTTTTTTCTCTTATTGTATAGATATAAAGGTTCTTCTGAGATTTAATGTGGTTTTATGCCTATAACTATAGTGACTCTTACATTCAACCTTAACTGCAGTGATCCAAATTAATTCAGTGGTGCATAATGGACCTTCCACTAACACACTTTTATTGAAGTCAAAAATTATCATATCTAGTGTATTATAGCGACTGGTGGCGCTAAGGAGGATATGACTTATCATCTCCTTTACCATAACCGCTCACGCGATGCGCTCCTCCTACCGCAAAATGGCGGCTATTTGGTTTCGCAAATAAGAAAAGCATTCAGTTTAAATACAAGTTTTTATAAATAGAAATTATTATTCTGCATTGCTAAATAAATACCCTCCGTACTACCAACAAAAACATCTCAAATAAAATGCAGTAATACACCGCAAATCCTGCACTTAAAAAGCACTAATGAAATTTTTGGTGTACTTGGTTAAATATGATAATATTCCGTTTGAGTGGTTCTAACGTTTCTCGTGAAATTACTCCTTAGAGTATAGTTTATAAACATTTATATTCAGGGTAAACTTAAAAAATGCTACTTATGGTATGTTTTCAATAAATAAACACCGAAATCACCAGCCCAAACAATAACACACGATTGTCATGACATATTTTTCAAGTTATTTTTTTAAACAACAGACACAGGCATTAAAAACGTTATGGTTTGCTAGAGTAGTTACCGAAATAGCAATTAATATTAGTTCTTTTACCTGTTATAACTTCAATCGGTATAAAATCATCACCAGCACCTCTAGGTGTGGTATGCGTCTACGGCTGCATGTATCGCGTGAGCGGTTACACAACTATAAAATTTAACTACAGAAAATTCTTTAAATATGTCAATACAGAATTCCTTTTCATTAAAATGTTGCATCCATTATAAGCTATGAGATGTGAGTCATAGTAAATATGCAGCAGCATCGCCTTGTACACTCATAACGCTGACTGTGAATAAATTAATTTATTTGAAATAATGAGTAAATAAGTTTGTGAACATTTTGATTTATGGTCATGGCCTTTTCCCAAGACTTGTTTTAAATCACAGATAATGCAACACAATGTAACTTTGCAACTGTGATATGTGCTAGACTTCTATATTTTTTATGTTAGTGCGTTTTAACTTAAACACCTAATGTTTTTATTCGAGTCGGTGGAAATTAACCTGCACCAATCAAATATGTGAAGGACTGGCGTTTGTCTTTGCTCTCATTGCTCCTATGTGTTGGGTCCTGGGTCTCCTTGCGGCGGTACGCCGAGAAATCAGGGACTGCTATGTCACTATGCGCGAATCGCACTTGCACAGTCGCTGAAAATGACAAGTGTTATGTAATAAGATTTTCTTCCATAATCAAGCTATATTCTACATGAAGACGATTCACAATACTCACGCCTAGTGCCGCATTTAACTTTTAAGCCCTGGATGGCCAAGGCACCGTGCATAGCATGCGGAGTCGATGCTTTGGGCAGAGGCTGTACCACTAACTTATCAGAAGGTGTAAACACTACAACGGCGGGTTTCAGGCCATTTGAAACAACAGAAGTTGTGTGCTTGAAGTAAGGGGATAAGTGTCCAGCCCGCGCGATGGAATTCATCCTGATTTACCTTCTGAAATTCGCAATAATGTTGCTTTATTTCGTTCGCAAAACGCAGTACCTACAAGTCGTACGATCTAAAGTCAGGACGAGAAACGTCAAGATTAGTGTTGCCATTAGTTATTTTTAGTTCATACATCTTTTTTTTATTGCAGATATATTTTAATCATTTTAACTAAAAACAGCACAAATATTATATGTTAACTAAAGTAACGGATAACTCACGATTTAAGTCGAATTGTTGCTCGATATGTTTCGAACCAATTCGCGATCCTTAATCATGAGATGCCGCGGCGGTGACTCGACGATTTTCGACATAAATATGTGAGTTATCCGTTAGTTTAGTTACAGTGGTTTACTATTTAAAATATTATATAGATAAAAAATAAATAGATTTTTGTTTGGTTTCAAATAATATTATGTTTGTCATTGTAATACTCATATTTTTAGATACTTATTTGATCATTCTATTATAATTAATACTATCCTCTTATTATAGTTAGTTCATACTCAATACAAAATCTTTACATAATTTATTTTTGTTCATTTATTTTATCTAGACGGTATGTACAAACAGCTTTTAATACAATATTAAAACAATTAAAGAGAGAATAAAGCAACAAACAAATAAAGAAATTAAAACATAATGGTAAGCAAACAGTTCCTCGCTACTAGAAATGATTGAGTTATATAACAAACACATGGATTACACGGCTTGTTATGAGAAATAAAGAAAGACAAAATTAAGATAAAGACACAAAATTTCACATTGCGACACTTCAGATAGTTGATAAGTAGGTAGGTCATACATCTTTAACCCATTTAATAGTATTAATGTATTAATAACATTCACATAACCAATATAAAACAAATTAACTAACCAAAATAGGTACGTGGTTTTATTTTTTGCAAAAATACGTTGTTTGCATGGACGTCAAGGTAGACTTCGCCTACCCTCATTTCATTAACATTTATGTTTGCTATCCTCTTTGCCCTGCTGACTGAACTAATTTTCGTGATTGCGACAGTCTATAACTACTAACCGTCCTGAGTAACACGCGTCTGTCTTAGACCACCCATTGACACTCGTAGACACTTTGTGGATTCACCGCCATATTTAGTTTTTTTTCGCCATATTTCGCCTTGTGTGAAATACCGCTTGTATTTTACTGTGTTACTGTACTGAAGGTACTTAAACATTGTTCAGTGATAAATTGAGTGATCATCACCGTAACTGGTCTCCTCTGACCGCCAGCGCGTTCTAAAACTTGAATGCCGCGCTGGTACTGATGTGTAAGGACTCCGTTACTTGTTTTCTAAATAATAAAGTTTACTTACCTACAAATTGAATCAACTATTCTATGTATTTAGTTTTTATTTGTTTTGTATTTTTGGTATGAGATGTTTTATATGTTGATTGTTAAAATATAAATTATAAAAACGAGCTGGTTAGGACTATTGAAAGACCATGCTTTGATTTGACATTTTATGATTTAGTCCGATATTTTTTCTTAATAATTTCTGTATCATACTTTTATTTTTTATTTTATTATTCATAAAATTATTATTTGTTTAGCGTGACATGCTTCATTTCATGTTATGAAATTTAATTTCGTCGTATTTATGTATAAATATAATTTATTATTATATAAATTAAAAAGTTCAAATTTTATTGCTAGCAACACTACATCATGGTTACCAAGTATTCCAAATTCACACAAAGTCGATTTAAATTTGGTAAATAAATTATGTCGATAATAATCTAACTATTCACTTGTTGTACGCGGCGCGAGTTTCTCATACGAGGCTGTTAGACGTGGTTTAAACCATAGTCAATTAAGTTTCCCTTGTGTGTTGGTTTTTCTGGGATTTTCACATGATTTCCTGAGAACTTCTTAAACTTCGGCTTGTTTTACTGAACAGGCAATAAATTATTAAATGAGCGTTCAATAATACATTTAAAATATTCTTAATAACTGTGAGTTGTGACTTAACTTTTGCGATGTTTATTGGGAATAATAGCAAATAATTGAGACATGCGCACTGCGATTCAAATGATTTTATCCCTCTGAACTGCATCCCTAAAAAAAGACGTATTCCTACTTGTCGGCCTTCAATTCATTACATGACATGAAGGTTGAAAGCAATTTGGAGATATATAAAATTATTAAGTTAGTCTGCAATAATAAATTAACGATGTTAATTTACCTATGACAATATCAATTTTGATGTAAGCATATGTGACAATAAATCTATTCAGTTTTTGAGGTCTTTCGTTATGGAGATAGATTTTACTACAGTTATATAGAATTGTATTTATAAGGAAAAAGTCCCAATTTTTATTACAAATATTTGTATTTTTTTACTCGGGTATAAGTGCAGATTTTTTTTCTACTGTCATCAATCTAAAACTATGCTTGTGATTCAAGTTCCGGCTTATTCAACTAGATGGCGCTTTAGCCAAACGTATTCAACGTGATAAGAGAACTAGGCAAGTCTCATTTCGCATCATTCCCATGCCGACATCATCATCCCATTGATTTGCTACAGCACTAATAATCTTTTATTATTTCCTGCACTTTGAGGCGCCTTGCCGAATTTGATCGTGTAGTATAATAATCACACTTAGGTAACCGGTAGGTCTGTAAATGTCCATTGTCTACTAGTACATGCTGCATCAAGATGGATACCTACATGTATAATATACTCTGGGATATAAGTGAATTCAAATAGGAAACACTTTGTTATCTAGAGTTCAAGTACTCGTTAAACAATTTAACAGTTAAGAAAGTAGTTTGAACAGTCTCACGACGCCGCCCGCCGCAGTAAATAAGCAAGATAAAGATGTTTCTAATTCAATTTTTAGATATTTACTGTATATTTTTAATTAAATTTATTATGTATACTTTTTGTTGATTTTGTATTATTTGTCGTCCTTCGTAATAGACTAAAGTGTTTGTTTTAGGTCAAGCGGTTTATTTATATAACAATATTCATTTTCAATTCCTTTTTGTAATATGCGTAGTACACGATTAGTGAAACTTCATGCGACAGCGGCCAGATGGCACTACGAGTACCAAACAAGTGAATAGCAACCTAAACACTTCAGCGAGTTTCGATAAAAACTAAATTATTAGCATAAATTAATTTTTAAATGTTGGTCTATTCCACGCGACCTCGAGATGTAGGTATATTCTAAGTGTAGAGTTCTATAAACAATTTCATGGCCACTGCTGCGCTTTGTTCGCATGTGTCCGTGAGCGTCGCAGCAGCGCACGCACGCACACACTTGCTGCTCAATATGGGTGCGTGTGCGGGCTACCCACACCCGCGCATTTATCCTTGACAACTCAGCTCACACTCGTAGCAATAAATAACGCAGTTGAGTTGCGTGCGCCATGTCCGTCTATTTTGCATAGAATTATTAATTTCGGTATAGTACTCCTCTAGCAGGTTAATTACCGCGTAAGTAAGGTTAACTAGCCTTTTCGTCGCCAAAAATTATACCTGCGCGTTTCCATAATTTAGGTTAAGGTAAAATTGATATTTCAATTACATTTTATGACAATTAATTCAACTTCGATATTGATTTTTAAAGTTTCATTAATATCCCAATTATTATTACTATGACAAAATATACCAATAACTGTGTATTATAATATTTAAGGAAATTGTATCATTTTATTACGGTCCTGATGACCTCACTTGCATAGTTCGATATTTCCGCGGTGCTAACTCCTCTAATGTCGTCATGCACAATTTTATACAGCAAAGTACCAAATTTTCGTAGACGTACAACGCACACGGAGGCAACGAACGAAGTACTTGTAAATTTATAGAATAGTTTGTATGTGTGCGAGTTTTGTAGTGACGCTAGTGAATAGATGGCGCTGGGGTCGGCGATCGTTAGTCTCGGTGCGTCCGCAAGATGCGTTTCAGAACTGAATAGAGCGTGTTTAGATAATGGCGGCGATGCGCGCGGGGCGCTCTTGGGAGGGACGGCCCAATTTGAACCGCGGCATGCCCATTATACAATGAATTTATTGCCGCATACAGCTGACACATATTGCGTGCTGCGTGCATGCTATGTACTGTGCGCCACGCCAAAGGAATGTTTCGATAATTAGCGGGTTTACTCGCGGCTGTTACACCGTGAAAACCAATAACATATACGAACGAACTGTAATCAAACAATGATTGTTAAGTTGCAATAAATTGGTAAATATTATATATTACGAAATAACTTTGAGACGTAGACAAGAAATACCTATGTATATTTTTTTACTACGTGTAACGGGAAAACTGCACTACTGGATTTTGATGCTTGATTTCTGGTTGGCTATGATCCAAATTGAGTGGTCACTTTGTGTAATTTGGCAACTGTTGTATTCAGCCGACACCTGTCATCGTGGAAGTTCAACCGGCTGGGTTCAAGTCCCGCTGGCCGACCGCGGCTTTCGGTATAATTAAACAACCTCCATAAAATTCATCAATCGCTCGCATACAAGGCAAAGGGCAAGGGCGAGCTTCAATGTTACATTAATTCAACAGACTGCCATTGTAACAGTTCCGTTAATTTCACGTATCGATTGTATATAGCAACTACGACTAACGACAACTAAAAAAAGACACGACGTCATGATTTAAGGGCTAATGAATACGCTTCGCAAAAAGATTCAAGCCAATAATCAAAATTTGCCACTTCCGAGGTTTCGAGGGAAATAAAAAACCTTTTTTTTATAATATCAAGTTACGGAACGAACAAGTCATGGTGCGCCCGATGGCAAGTCACACGCCTGTCCATAACACTTGCAGTTTTAAATCGCAAAAATCTGAAGGGCTGTGCCCGTCACTCTGAGACGTAAGTTGACAAGTATCATGCCCCTGTAATGTAAATTCACCAGCACCCTTATACTTCAAAACCGGAACACAAAACGCTGACATTACTGCTTGGCGGTAATGTCATCAAGAAATAGGTAAGGTGGCAGTACTTACCTGGAGGAACTCTTTCCA